AAGTTTTCTGTTATTATTTTCTCAAATAGGTTTTCATTTTCTTTCTGTCTCTCTTCTTCTTCCAGCACCTCCATGATGTGAATGTTGGTATGTCTGAAGTTGTCTCAGAGACTCTTTACACTATCTTCATATTTTTTTTATTCTTTTTGCTCTTCTGATTGGGTGTTTTTGTTTCTTGATATTCCTAATTTTTTATTTGATTCTTAGCATCCTGTACTCTACTGCTGATTCCCTGCAAATTATTCTTCATTTCAGTGAGTGTATCCTTCATTTCTGACTGGTTTTTTATGTTGCTGATGTTCTCACTGTGTTTCTTGAAGTTTTCAGTAAGTTACTTGAGCATCCTTATAACCACTGCTTCAAACTCTGTATCTGGTAGTTTTCTTGTTTCCATTTCATTTAGTTCTTTTTCTGGAGAGTTCTCCTGTTCTTTCATTTGTGGCATGTTTATCTGTCTCTATAGTTTGGCTGCTCCCTATGGTAGTTTCTATGTATTAGGTAGATCTGCTATGTCTCTTGGATTTAGTAGAGTGGCCTTGTGTAGTAGATGTCCTGTAGGGCCCCATGGCTCGGCTTTCCCAGTCACCTGAGCTGGGCAATCCAGGTGCCTCCCGGTGTGAGCTGTGCAGGTGCTGACCCTATGAAACAGGACTTGCTTCAGTGGGGCTTTGGTGTGTCCACCCCTTAAGTGTGTCACCTGTGGAGATGGTAGGGTTGTAATCCAGCATGGTTGAAGTTGACCACTAGATGCACTGCTGGTTCTGGAGCCTACTGGGAGGTGCAAAGCCAACCACTGCCTGTGCCCTCTACATGGTACCACCCACCATGAGCTACAAAGCAATCTGCAGATGGCTGCTACTTGTGTTAAGCCTGGAGGTGCCCAGGAGAGACCAAGCTATGAATCAAGGCAGGCTGCCACTAATGCCGGGCCTGGGGCCACTTACTGAGAGGTATGGGGTGTGCTGAAGCCAAATGCTGCTTGTTTGAGAGATTTTAGGAAAGTCTGAAGCATGAGGTAAGAGAGACCAGTTGTATGGAAAAGCCACTGGAAATGGCTTGGATGAGCATGCAAGTAGGGAGGGGCAGGATCTTAGGGAATCACCAGGGTGTGCCAAAAAGTGTGAGCCAGGTTGATGAAGATTCAGATATGGTGTTGCCCCTGCCAGCTTTGTGGTGCAGAGAGCTCATCAAAGCAACAATGGCCTCTGACAGAACTTGTGTGTGGGAGAAAGCTGCCCCTCCAGCTCTTGCACTGATTCCAGGCAAGTTAGTTTCTCCCTGAATGTCCCAGGTTCCCTTCAAGCTGCTGCCCAGTGCTGGAGCTCAGAGGAAATGAGTTTGAGTAAAAGGGCCCTTTAATAGGAACTGCCTGGGACCAGCAAGCCTCCGTGTCACTTAGCCATAATCCCTGCTGGTTTTTACAAGCTAGAAATTGTGCAGACTTCTCTTTCTGATACTGGAACCCTTGGCTGTGGAACCTGGTATGGGGCTGGGACCCATCACTCCTTAGGGAAACCTCCACAGCCAAGATATCCCTCCCAATTTTAAACTGCCACACATGAGAATGGGACCAGCTGGTTCTATAACTTCACTCCAACTCTCCACCCCTCCTACCAGTCTTGATGTGCTTCTTCTTTAATTCCCTAGTTGTAGGACTTGCATTCAGCTAGATTTCAGATGGTTGTGAATGATGGTTGTTTGGTATTTTAGCTGTAATTTTGATGTGGTTGTGAGAGGTGGAGAGTCCAGTATTTACCTATGCAATCATCTTGACCAGCCCAAAAATGTTTTAACTGATTTTTAAGAAACTGATTTTGAGAGAGAGAGAGAGAGAGAGAGAGAGAGAGAGAGAGAAAGAGAGAAAGATATCTCCTGGGCACCTCCAGGCTTAACACAAGTAGCAGCCATCTGCAGATTGCTTTGTAGCTCATGGTGGGTGGTACCATGTAGAGGGCACAGGCAGTGGTTGGCTTTGCACCTCCCAGTAGGCTCCAGAACCAGCAGTGCATCTAGTGGTCAACTTCAACCATGCTGGATTACAACCCTACCATCTCCACAGGTGACACACTTAAGGGGTGGACACACCAAAGCCCCACTGAAGCAAGTCCTGTTTCATAGGGTCAGCACCTGCACACCTGGATTCATTGGTTGTCTCTTATATGTGCCCTGCCTAGGAATTGAACCGGCATCCTTGGTGTATCAGAAAGATGCTCCAACCAAGATACCCAGGCAGGGCAAATGTTGTTTTTTGTTTTGTTTTTTTAAATATTTTATTGATTTTTTACAGAGAGGAAGGGAGAGGGCTAGGGAGTTAGAAACATCGATCAGCTGCCTCCTGCACACCCCCTACTGGGGATGTGCTCGCAACCAAGGTACATGCCCTTGACCAGCATCGAACCTAGGACCCTTGAGTCCGCAGGCCGACGCTCTATCCACTGAGCCAAACCGGTTAGGGCCAGGGCAAATGTTTTAAGTTTCATCCAAATCTAGATATCCTCATGAGATTATATCAAACAAATAAACATTATCTTTCATATAACAGAAAAGGGGTTGAGAATTAACAGGACTATTGTGACCTCCCTAAGAGGGACCCTATATCCTACTTTTCCCATCAAGGATCCAAAATAGAGCTATTTACTCAACTTGGGAGTTTTTTGTCACTTCTTACACTATTAAAAGAAAAAACTACTTAATTGAAGTTGATGTTTTTTTTAATCTAGCAAACTTAAAAGAGGTAGGGTGTCTTACACCAAATTTTGGAATGAAGGAGACTCTTTAAGTCCTTTTAATCCTTTTCTCATTCCCATCCATAATCTGGAGACAAACTCTGGATGTTAAAATTTTTGGAGGTGCGCTTAAGATTTGGTGGTGGGTTTTTTTTTAGCTGTAAAACTCTAAAGAATAACTACAGAGAAATAGGGGGCTTAGTAGAAAGATAGTAGGCTTTCTTTTTAACTGACTCATTGAGGTACATATACCAACCAGTCAGCTCAGCTAACCAGGAAAAAAATAGAAAAGGATTCAAAAGAAGCCCAAATATAATTAATTAAAAAAAAAATCCAATACAGAGGCAACCCCCACATCAGATCAATTAAAAATAAGACTATAATTTCTCATTAATATAAAGCTTCGTGGGAAACAATAGAATATAAATAATATGCAACATAAAACTTGGAGAATAATGGCATTAGCATAGTATAAACACTACCTCATACTGAGGATGTCCTGCACAGATAAGAAGCAGTTCTAGAGTTCGCAGGTCCCCAAGACCTTGGCCTGGAGTACAAACAATTTTTTCAAGAAAAGTTTCACATAGTTCAGTAAAAATCCGACAGTAATTCAGAACTCTGTAGATGAAAAAGGAATGAGAACACCAAGTCAGAAATCTCGCTATTTTATGTACATATTCACCAACAGTTATTCAAATAAAGAAAAGGATCCTCAGTACAAATGATTATTTGCTATGCTGTACTTCAATCTCCATAACATCCACTATTCTTACATCATATACTTTTATACATATAAGCAAATGATTCATAAGTCAGTTCAAATTCTCAAATACTAAACCTGAATAAAATTCCCATCAAATCACACTTGATACTTCAAAGTTCATCCCTAATTTTTAGAGCCTTGCCCCTTTTAAGCATAGAAAATTACGACTTTCCATGATTACAACTTTTCCTTCTGCATCCAATTTGCCACTCCAGGTCAGATGAAAATAGAAGAGCATCTTTAGGATGCAGAGTGTGTATTTACAGTCACAAAGAATAGATAAATTATATAAAAAACACCAGCCTGTGTGTGAACCCAGGGCTACTGTCTTAAATACTCACTTGTCTAAATCTTCGCGTGCCACAGCCATATGATAGGCAGTCTCCAATGTCAGGACTCCTTGAAACAGTTGCATGGCTAATGGCAAGTTAGTCTCCACATTCTCAATGGCATAGAGAGCTGAGCACACACAGTCTGAAGCAGCTTCATGTAGGTTGGATGAGGTCTTATCCTGTTGCTGGGAAACAGCAGGAATAGGGCAGAATTATGATCATTAAGCTATAATCCAATTAATATGTAAACAATTATAGCCTGTTTCTGAAAAATGTAATTTACATGGCTAAAGCCTGGTAGCCATGGCCTTCAATGAGACAATACCCATCAATTTTCTCAATGCTATTTTTGATTATTTCCAAATATGCCAAGCAAATCAGCCTTTCTGTACCTCAATCATGATCACCTGACTTCTAAAACCCATGTTTTCCATATCAGTCCCTCTGACTGGAATGCCATGTGTGTTTCCTGCCCTATTTTAGTCTCTGGAAATTTTTTCCATCCTTTTTCTGATATTCAAGTACTATCTAAAATAAAAGGATCCAGATGGAGAAACCAAGATGGCGGCATAGGTAAACACCTGAAATTGCTGCCTCGCACAACCACTTCAAAACTACAACTAAAGACAAAACAGACATCACCCAGAACCACAGGAAGGCTGGCTGAGTGGAAATTCTACAACTAGAAGGAAAGAGAAAAGCACACTGAGACTCAGGAGGTGCGTAAGTAAAGTGCAGAGGTATGGAGGAGCGTTCGAGGAAAGGGCTGGCAACGGAGGACACGGTTGTCTTTTTCAATCGGGAGGGAGGCACAAGCTCCCGACGGCCCTGACTCCAGTTCCGGGCGAGTCTCTGGGGACCCAGACTCACATGGGGAGAAACTGGACTGTCTGGCAGCGGGCGGAACTCGAAGGCGGCTTTCTCTCAGAGGTGCTTGCAGCGATTACCAGGACACTGAGACGAGGGACCTCTTAGGGCAAGACTGAGGATCAGCCATAGCTGTTTGCTCCGCCCTGTTGATTCCCTGAGACCCCGCCCCACCCAAGCTGTGAGCAGAGGCTTTTGCATATGAATGACCTGGCCCTTTGAGATCTAAAATTACCTAACAAGCTGCAGCTGGGTCAGAGAGAACCAGAACATCCAAAAGAAGGCTCAAGGCCCCACAGCAGCTTGCATTGCTTCACAGCTGGGCCTCATCTGGGCACCTCCAAACCCCGAACAAGGAAGAGGAATCTGCAGATCTCTCCGTAGCTCCTGCTGGGTAGCCTCAGGCAGAGGCTAAATTAGCACCTCCTTAGAGATCCAAGAGCCCGTGTACCTAGTGGTCAAAGTGGGACCATCCAGATTACAACTCCTCAGATCCATAAAAGACACACTCAGGGGGCAGACTCAGTGAGCACCAAAGCCCCACTGAAGCAAGTCTTGCCCCAGAAGGGTGTCTTCAGCACAGAAGTTCTCCCACTGTAGACACAGCTGATTCTCACGGTCAATTCCTCCCAGTGATACCAACAACAATCAAGGCTTAACTACAACAAGACTGTGCACACAGCCCACAAAGGGGTGCACCAAGAGTGTCCACCTCAGGTAATTGGGGAGGCTGAGCCACTGGGCCATATAGGACACCTAGCACACAAAGCCACTCTATCAACACAGGGAAGCAGCCAAAATGCAGAGACAAAGAAACATCACAAATGACAGAAATGGAGGAAAGCAAACTACTGGATATAGAGTTCAAAACCACAGTTATAAGGTTTTCAAGAATTTTCTAGAAACCGCCAATAAATTTAGTGAGACCCTTGAGGATATGAAAAGGACCAACTAGAAATTTATACAGAGATCCAACAGCAGACAAGAGGATCCCAAGAATCAAGTCAAAGATTTGGATCCCAAGAATCAAGTCAAAGATTTGAAATATGAAGAAGCAAAAAATACCCAACCGGAAAAGCAAAAAGAATCCAAAAATATCAAGATAGTGTAAGGAGCCTCTGGGACAACTTCAAGCGTATCAACATCCGAATTATACGGATGCCAGAAGAAGAGAGAGAGAGCAAGATATTGAAAACCTATTTGAAGAAATAATGACAGAAAACTTTCCCTACCTGGTGAAAGAAATAGACTTACAAGCCCAGGAAGCATAGAGAACCCCAAACAAAAGGAATCCAAAGAGGACCACACCAAGACACATCATCATTAAAATGCCAAGGACAAAAGACAAAGAGAGAATCTTAAAAGCAGCAAGAGAAAGACAGTCAATTACCTACAAGGGAGTACCCATAGGACTGTCAGTTGATTTCTCAACAGAAACTATGCAGGCAAGAAGGGAGTGGCAAGAAATATTCAAAGTGATGAATAGCAAGAACCTACAACCAAGATTACTTTATCCAGCAAAGCTATCATTCAGACTTGAAGGTCAGATAAAGAGCTTCACTGATAAGAAAAAGCTAAAAGAGTTCGTCACCACCAAACCAGTATTATATGAAATGCTGAAAGGTATTCTTTAAGAAGAGGAAGAAGAAGAAAAAAGGTAAAGATAAAAATTATGAACAACAATTACATATCTATCAACAAGTGAATCTAAAAATCAAGTGAATAAAAAATCTGATGAACAGAGTAAACTGGTGAATATAATAGAATCAGGGGCATAGAAAGGGAGTGGACTGACAATTATCGGGGGGAAAGGGGTGTGGGGGGTGGGCGAAGAGACTGGACAAAAATCGTACACCTATGGATGAGGACAGTGGGGGAGGGTAAGGGCACAGGGTGGGGTGGGAACTGGGTGGAGGGGAGTTATGGGGGGGAAAAAGAAGAACAACTGTAATAATCTGAACAATAAAGATTTATTTAAAAAAAAAAGATAAAAGGATCCAACAAGTATCACAGACCCATACATAACATCAATATGATATTTCAGAATATCAAGGTTAAAGAGAGGTTCTTAAAACTTCTGGGGAAGAGAGAAGAAGGTAACTTAGAAAGGAGTAAAAACCAGTTATCCAGATTGGTCATGAGCAACGATGAAGCAAAAATCAGTTAACCAGCTTCATCATTAACAATGATGTTTGCCAGTATACAAGAGCCCTTGAAAATTTTGAAGGAAAAGAATTATTTAACTCACCCAGCCAGGGTAGCTTAGTGGTGAGTATTAACCATGAACCAAGAGGTCACCAGTTCAATTCCCAGTCAGGGCACATGCCCTGGTTTCAGGCTTGATCCCCGGTAAGGGGTGTGCAGTAGGCAGCTGATTAACGTGTACCAGCACACAACCATTAAGCACAGAGCTTCCATACTAATATATCTTCATGGAAGAAAAGCATTGGGAAAAAGGAGACAAAGTCACTCCCATCTGCAAAGACCTATTCAATATTTATGCTTGAGATATCGCTGTTTCTTTTTCTTCCAATCACTTTTCAGAAATATGAAAACACTGTTATGTCTCAGAAGGTTAGTTACTGTGGCTATGTGGCAGAAATACTTTCATAAACAAAGCCATTACTTACCAAAACCTCAAAAAGGAGTGCTAGTAACTTATTGTTAGCCATGAAGTTACTGTCCAAAACGCCTAGGTTAAACCAACTCCCCAAACAGCGAAAGACCTTCATAAGCATTTTCTCATCTGTTCCTGCTTTTTCTACACAGGTCATCTGAAAATAAAAAGGAAAAAAAAGTCAATCTTTATATTTAGGACAATCACCTCATAGATGTAATAATGGAAAGGATGAAAACAGTAAAAGCTAACAGAAGTGCTTTATAAGTACTTTGTTCTCAACACTTTTTTTTTTTTAAATTTTTTTTAAAAAAATATATTTTATTGATTTTTTACAGAGAGGAAGGGAGAGAGAGATAGAGAGTTAGAAACATCGACGAGAGAGAAACATCAACCAGCTGCCTCCTGCACATCTCCTACTGGGGATGTGCTCGCAACCCAGGTACATGCCCCTGACCGGAATCGAACCTGGGACCCTTGAGTCCGCAGGCCGACGCTCTATCCACTGAGCCAAACCGGTTTCGGCTGTTCTCAACACTTTTAATTCATTTAATCCCCACTAAAACTCTACAGGTGGTATTATTATCTCACTTGGGAAGCTGAGATACAAAGAGATTATACACACGCCAAAAGATAGATATGTCTCAGAAATAACTGTTTCTTAGATCCCATTTCTGCATTAATGGAATCTTATCAGAACTGTCTTTAAAGTAATACTCATCTATGGTTGATTTTATAAAACAGAAATAAGCTAATCATAAAACTACTGTATATTCCCACATGAAAAGCTGATGTTTCAGCTTTAGCACTTAATATTCAAGTAAATATGCCATTCCACAGAAAGTGGCAGTATTATAAATGTGATAGTTTATAAAAGATTTTTTAAAAGTTAGGCTAAAACTCAGTATTGTTTCTCTTTGCAAACTGTTTTTGTAATGTATAATTTTCCAAAGTGAGGTGTAATTTAACTTTTTCTGGACAGAAAGTGTTTAAATTACAACTGTGGAGTTATAGGAATTCTGATAATGATAGTAAGATGAAATAACCAAAACATAAAGTAGAAGGCCCTGTTTCAACAACTGACATGAATTTGTAGTAGAAAAACATATAACTTCATTTTGGCAATGTTTCTTATAAAATAAGGGCTTTCCCCATCATTTAAGGGTCCAGATGAAGTAGAAGTTGTAGAAAGAGGCAGCTGTAGAATTTGATCTTCCAAGTACACCATGAACCTTTATTGAACTTAATCATAATACTGTCAAACTGTCATGATCTCACTAAAGAATTTCTATTTGCTGTCAGTTAAAAGTAAAATCCTGAGTACATTTTTATTCTTGCTACTGGATGCATTGTCTGTTTTCTTTGTAAATGCAATACAATAAACAATTTAATAACCTAAAAAAAAAGTGTTTAAATATAACATTTACATCCCTAAGTGGTTTGGCTCAGTGGATAGAGCACAGGAGTGTGGACTGAAGAGTCCTGTGTTCGATTCCGGTCAAGGAATGTACCTTGGTTGCAGGTTCAATCCTTGTGCAAGAAGCAACCAACTGATGCGTCTCTCTCACATCGATGTTTCTCTCTCTGTCTCTCCCCCTCCCTTCCAGTCTCTCTAAAAAATCAATGAAAAAATATCCTTGGGTGAGGATTAACAAACAAACAACAATAATAATAATAATAACAACAACAACAACAACAACATTTACAGGCAATGGGTTAGAAACATCATAATTGCCATGAAGTTTGGGAGGCATGGGGGATATGGAATCCCATATGACCTAAATGCTGGCACTTATACTTCTAGGTAGCCATGCTCCCCCTATGTCTGCAGTATCAGGCAATAATGATTCTATACTTATTAATCAGAAACTGTACTGAACTGAACTGAAGGAAGAAAAAAAGAAATGATTCAAGTAAATTCATGGCAAACACACACACACACACACACACACACACACACACACACACACTACTCTTTTTGAAGCTGTTTATGTAAATACATTACACAACTGCTTGGCCTTTATGCTTCCTAAATGACATCTCAATTTTACGAAGGTATAATGTTTACAAATGGAAGGACTTGATTGTACATTCTAATTACTGACTCAAAGTTGAGGGTAATATTTTGGAAAAATCCTACATCTAAAGCTAGTTGCTTTGGAGAAGAAATTCTGCTATTTAAATAAAGCACACATCATAAAGCTTTGGAACTGAGTTACTACCTTCAGTTCCTCTTTGAGAACTATATTATTAAAACTCCACCTCTTAGAGTTAGGCCTCAAAGTTGAAAATAAATACCAAGCTCATCAGTAAAAATATAGCAGAAGCAAAGAAGAACTGATCTTAGATTAACAAAATGTAGAATAAATGAAGGGAGAAAAATATATTGGAGGCCAGGCTCAGTTAAGCTATAAAAGTAAGAAGAATATTAAAAACTTTTAAAAGTTCAATACAGTATTTAAAAATGGGTCCATTTGATGAGTTCAGACCACTCTGGAGCTCCACCTTACCACCTTCGTGGGGCAGACTCATCAGGCACCAGAGCCCCACTAAAGCAAGTCCTGCTCCATGGGATTGGGCCCTGAACACCAGCTCCTTGGCTATAGTCAGGACCAGTACTCGGCAGCCAGTTGGCCTGGGGGTAAATCCCTCCCACTGACGTGACAAAAGTAATCAAGGCTCAACTACTATAGGAGGATGCACACAGCCCACACAGGAGCACACCTGGATTGCCCAGTTTGAGTGGCTGGAGAGGTTGTGCCATCTACCACATAAGGCCACTTTACCAAGACTGGGAGACGTAGCAGCTCTACCTAATACAGAGAAACAAACATAAGGAGGCATCCAAAATGAGGAGACAAAGAAACATATCACAAAAGAAAGAATAGAACGAATGAACTAAATAAAACAGAGACAAGCAATTTACCAAATGCAGACTTCAAAACACTGGTTATAAGGAGTCTCAATGAACTTAGGGGAAGAGTAGATGAACTTTGTGAGAATTTCAACAAAGAGATAGGAAACATGAAAATAGAGATAAAAAACATTTTTAAAAAGTCAGAAATGAAAAATACAATAACTGAAATGAAGAATACACTATAAGGCCCGGCCGATGTGGTTCAGTAGCTGAGCAATGACCCGTGAACCAGGAGGTCAAGGTTTGATTCCCAGTAAGGGCACGTGCCCGGGGTTGCAGGCACGATCCCTGACTGGAAATTGAAACATGACCTCCTGGTTCTTAGGTTGAAAGTTCAACCACTGAGCCATGCTGATTGGGCTATCAACAATTACTTTAAATGCAAATCAATTAAATCAAGAGACACATGGTAACTGAATGTGTAACAAAACAAGACTCTTAGTATGCTATTTATAAGAGACTCAATTCAGATTGAAAGTAAAGAGATAGAAAAATATACTTCATTAAAATGGAAACAACAAAAAAAATGGGTAGCAATACTTATACCACAGAAAATAGACTTTAAAACAAAGGCTATAACAAGAGACAATGGCCCGAGCCGGTTTGGCTCAGTGGATAGTGTCGGCCTGTGGGACTGAAAAGTCCTGGGTTTGATTCCAGGCAAGGGCACATGCCTGGGTTGTGGGCTCAATCCCCAGTAGGGGGCGTGCAGGAGGTAGCCAATCAATGATTCTCTCTCATCATTGATGTTTCTATCTCTCTCTCCTTCTCTCTTCCTCTCTGAAATCAATAAAAACATACTTTTAAAAAACCACCTTCATAGATTAAAAAAAAAAAAAAAAGACAATGACAGACCCAGCAATTCCACTTCTGGGTATTTATCTGAACAAACCCAAAACACTAAATAAGAAAGACATACATCCACCATATGTTCATTGCAGTATTATTTATGATAGCCAAGATATGGAAGAAATCTAAGTGTCCATCAATAGATAAATGGATAGAGGTGATGCATATATACAACAAAATATGACTCAGCCATAAAAAAAAAAATGCAATCTTGCCATCTACAAGAACATGGATGGTATTTTGCTGAGTGAAATAAGTCAGAGAAAAACAAATGCCATATGATTTCACTTATATGTGAAATCTAAAAAACAAATAAATAAGCAGACCAGAAATAGACTCATAGATACAGAGAACATTTCGATAATGCTAGATGGGAGGGGGCTTGGGTAAAGGAATTAAGTTGTGAAAAAGGTAAAGGAATTAAGATGTACAAACTGGGCCCTAGGTGGTTTGGCTCAGTGGATAGAGTGTCGGCCTGTGGACCAAAGGGTCCCAGATTCGATTCCAGTCAAAGGCACATACCTCGTTTGTAGGCTCCTCCTCAGCCTGGGCCCTGGTCGGGGCGTGTGTAGGAGGCAACCAATTGATGTGTTTCTCTCATATTGATGTTTCTCTGTCTTTCCCTCTCTCTTCCACTCTCCCTAAAAATCAATGGGAAAATATCCTTGGGTGAGGATTAACAACAAAAAAAGATGTACAAGTTGGTAGTTACAGAATAGTCATGGAGATGTAAAGTACAGCATAAGGAGTGCAGTCAATAATATTGTAATAACTATGTATGATGTCAGATGGGTACTAGATTTATCAGGGTGATCACTTTGAAAGTTATATAAATTTCTAATCACTGGGTTGTACACCTGAAACTAATATAATTTTGTATATATTAACTGCAATTAAAAAATAAAAAATTATTTTAGAAGAAGAATGGGTCCATTTGAGTAGACTGAAAAAGTAAAATACTAGTAGGAAAATGAAATGGCACGGAACCATTAAAGAGAATTTGAGGGAAACTGAATGAAAAGGTTTTAAGAGACCTTTGGTACCTGGTATTATAGCCAAATATCTGTTTTTCTTGGCAATTTTGTACGAATTTCATCCTCTGGATTCTGTAACATGACAAGCTACATGACAGAATTATAGACCTTATTAGGTATTACTGGGATATATTTTTCAGATTCCATTACAACAAATCAATCTATCACCTGTGCCAATTATGAGAAAGTACTATCTAAGTAAAACACTTTCTCATATTTGGCACAGGTGATACATTGATTTGTTGTGCCTTGAGAGCCCAAGTGGCTGCTGCACTTGACCATTTGTGGCAATAATGATGGCTATAAGCACACAGCAGTGTTGACTAGATTCTCTTTTGACTTCACTTGAGCACTTAG